CCACGCGAGTGTAGCTCATTTATAATGGAAGTGAATCGAGTGTGTATGTCTTGAATGGATTCATCGTCCTTCATTCTGAAGAGATCATACTCAGTGATGAGCATGTAAATCTTAGATTGCTTTACTTGAGTAGTTCCTTCATGTGCTGTTTGTAGAGATTCCCATATCTCTTTGGCAGATTGGCAAGCTGAAATCCTTTTATATTCATCAGGACCTATACCACACACCAAAATTTTCTTGTCATAAAACTTTTTCTCCGCAGCTTTCATGTCAGCATCGTTGTATTCTTTCCTTGTCTTAGGCATTGTCACAGCAGGATCTCCTACCTTCTCTGTAGGGACATAAGGACCATCACATATAACATCTCACAGCTCGAAATCTTCAGCCATGATAATGTCATGCATCCTTGTCTTCCATCACCTATAGTATTGGCCATTGAACCTGGGTGGTCTGTAAGTAGACTGACCATCTTCGAAGTTTGGTGGAGCAGTCATGAGGATCCTTTCTAGGTGTTAACCTGATAGAAAGAATCCGCTCTGATACCAATTGATAGAATATATGAGTCCACCAAACTATATAAAGACCCTATCCTATATAGGTTTCCACAAATAACGCTAATGCAACAGCAAGTAAATGGAACAGGGAACTTTTATGTGGAAAAGTTCTTGCTCAAGGGGATAAAAAACCACGACCTATACTGGTAGGATTTCAACTTCACTATGAGCAATCTTTAGATTACAACCTATGCAATCTAGGAATTAAACTATTAATCCCTCATTAACTTATAATACACCTATTACAAGCCACTTTGCAATACACTTATTACAAAGACTTCAACTCACGACTAACTCTAGTCACGACACAAACACTAAAGGTTTATGATTTTTAAAGTGTTCCTATATGAAGCTTCTACATAAGCAAAGTAGGAATTTCAATGAAGAATAATTATAAAGTTATAACTCAACTAAGGACATACAAGAGACTTGTTGTAGGAAGTGGTCTGTAGTAGTGTTGTACTTTGTTCTTGGTGCACTTGAGAATTGAATGCTTGAATGAATTCTCTAAGTGTTCAAGTGATGTTTTGTTGTAATATTTATTGTTAATACAATGACATCACTTGAATGATGTAATCACTTGGTTGGTCAATGAGAAGTGACTGATGTACTGTGTTGAACTGTTTGCTGGTAAAGTGCAGGCAGTCACTTTCCAGCTGTAGAGAGTTGATTCCGTACTGTTGTCAGGAGAACCCACGGGAATCAGGTCCCTGTGTTGATTCTTTATCTTCTGAAGTCGTAGCAACTCACATTAGCTTGAGTCCGTTGATTGAGTTGTGTACCAAGTGTATTAGGTTCCTTATCTGGTTCTTTGACAGTAAGTTTGTTGGATCATCAAAACATAAAGCTAAGGTACTGTAAACCCATCAGAAATATTTTATTAAGTTATAATTATTGTCATAATAATTCGTGAAAAGATATTGAATTTTTGTTACCTGAAAAAGATTATTAGGACTATGTGATCAAAATTTTCTATATAAATTTTATGTTCAATATAAAATTTATCGTAGTAAAACATTGATTCGCTCGTCCAAATACAATAGTGGCGATTTTAAAGAATGGTTTTTTTTTCTATTTTTCTTTTTTTGATTTTTATCGCATTGGGGATAGGCTAATTTGAAATGCGTTGCATAAGGACAATTAAAGAGAAAATTGCTCAATAAAGGATTTATTATTCTTCAAATAGGAGATTTTTCAGCAATATAATGAGTCACAAGATGAGCAATAATCATTTCCTCATAAACATGACTTGATTGGTCAAATAAAGATGTAAAAGTTAGCTCATTTTCCATATTATAAAGCATTATTGTGGGTCCTTTTTGGATATTTATCTATTATGACGGCCATTTATAGTTTTTGATAATTATAGGTGAAGATTAGTGAACTTTGTTTGTATTAATCAAAATGATAACATGTACTGTAATTACAACTTTTTTTCTTTGAGATCCCTCATGCATTTAATTAAATGCACTCAATTTGATCCCCCTTTTTCTACCCTTCATCATATGTTAGTTATAATTAAATTAAAAATACTAATACTCTAATAATTACGTGAAAGTTAGTAATTATAGTAATTATATTACATTACTATTATTCATGATAAACACCTTTTTTCTTGTAATTTTTACGTAAAATAACTTACTTTAGCATACTTATAACACGACGATTATTCCATAACTATATTTTTTACATTAGCTTGTCAAATATAAAATTTATTCTCAAATTCAAATCCAGATGAATATTATTCCATATTTTTAAATAAAGATCATTATACGTAAATTTAACTTTGATAAGTCTGTACATAAATTTTAAAAACCTATGATCATAACAATTTTAACATGTTAAAAATAATGGAGCAGTTAGGAAACTCTAAAAAGCAGGGTGGATGAGATATATATATATATATTTTTAAAAGTGAAAAAGAAGAAGAAGAATAATGGTATCGTAATCTCCTTGTCATGACATAAAAGAATATCGCTCGAATTAATTTTTTCAACACTCTACGTTAGTGAAATACATTTATGTGAAGACATCTCGAAAAATGATAAGCAACTAAATTTATTTTAGAGCTTGATGTGTGACAATTTACAAAATGAAAAAATAATCAATAAATACTACTACTGTTATTACTAAGTCTAGAAACAAGTTTAGGCAAACCACAATTGTCCACACCAAACCACTACTAGCCATTTTGTCTGATTTCGAAAGGTCAAATAATTCCATCTACACACATCACATGCCACAAAATTGCCTCCCTTTAATAATAATAATAATAATAATAATAATAATAATAATAATAATAATAATAATAATAATAATAATACAACAACAACATACCCAGTATAATCCTACATAGTGGGGTATGGCAGTAGTGTGTACACAGACTCTACCCCTTACTTTTTGTAGAGGTAGAGAGGTTGTCTCAAATAGACCCCCGGCTCAGGCAAGCATAGGTACCACAATAATAAGAAACAAGACGGGACGACACCAAGAACCCATGTAAAAGCAGCATACACAACAAGATATTAAGATAATCGAAATATAAAAAAAAAATCAAGACAGGTATTCAAATAAGTCTACTATCGGTATGAATAATAATAATAATAATAATAATAATAATAATAATAATAATAATAATAATAATAATAATAATAATAATAATAATAATAATAATAATATGAATCTCTGTTTATTGTGAGGTACAAATTGGATATAAGTCAACATTTAAAAGATTTTCACTCTTTGCTCTCTCTCACACACACCCCAGATGAAAAGAGTTTTAGAGAAGACAAAATATAAAGCAAACACAAAAAAATTTTAAAAAAAAATGGGAAGTCTTTCAACTAATCCAATAGCTAGTGGAATTTATCTATAATTTTTTTTTTTTTTACTAAAATGATATCATTTATAGGTATATTTTTCTTCTCAGATGGGTAAATGATCAAATTGCCATCCTTCCTTTCGGAGGAGTTAAAAAATACTATGATGGCTCCGTTGCTTTATATGTTTATTTTTTCTTTTTTTTTTTGTCTGTGATTCAGCAATATGTCCTTTATTTCATACTTCTCGATAGGGGTGTTCATAAAAATCCGAAAACTCGAACCAAACCGAAAATCAAACCAAATCGACCAAAAAAATCGATACTTTTAGTTTTGGTTTTGAAATTTAAAAACCGATCAAATTTGGTTTGGTTTTGGTTTTAATAAAAAAATAACCGAATCAAACCGAATATAGGAGTAGCTATTTTAAATTTATTATTACACCTATATATAAGTATACTTTAATACAAAGTTTCAAAAAATTTATAGTAAATGTTAATCGTTTGCACTTTTAGTAACATGTCTTTACCTTTACATTCTAGTTTGATTGGTAGTTTTCTTTTGTTGAGTGTAAGAATCTATTTCATGTTAAAAATAATATATTTTTAATTGAGTCCTTAAATTATTCATCACTATTTGATTCAATTATCATCAGTATATCTTGGTAAATAATAGATTTCTCAAAGGGCAATTGATTTGATAGTGTTACGTTAAAAATGTGGTCGCCGAAATATGTGTTTGGTAGTGTATGCCTTATATTTAAGAAAAAAATCGAAAAACCGACATGAACCGAATCAAGAAAAAACCGACTTAATAGGTTTGGTTTGGTTCTAATATTTGAAAAACCAATTTACTTGGTTTGGTTTCTTTTTCGGAAAAACCGATACAAACCGAACCATGAACACCCCTACTTCTCGATCTAACTAAAGAATGGTGAAAATGAAACAATAAAGAAAAAACAATTCCTTTTCTCATTTTTTTAAATGCACTTTTTCTCTATGAATCAATATCTTATGGAATTACCAAAAATAAAAATAAAAACCTACTTTGTTTTGTAAATACAATGGAGTTAATTCACAAATATTGCATTTTCCATTTATTTTTCCAGCTCTTAGATTGCTGTACTATCTTTCTGGCCTTTATTACTGTTCTATTGTTTCTTTTTATTGTTTTGAACTGAGGGTCCATTAGAAACAATTTCTCTATCTCCCAAAGTAACACACTATCCTCCGCAAACCTCATTTGTGGGATTATAATGCATTGTTGTTGTAGTTGGAGTTAATTCACAAACTAGATTTTCAGATTTCCTTGGCAACTAAACCACTAATCAGAAAGAGTTCAATGAGTAACATCAGGAAAAGGACCAACAACTTCCAAACAGGAGTTTGTTAAGTCATCAATCAGATAAAGACACAGATAACTCTACAAGCTCAAACCCCACACCAACAAACCATTACCATCTGCCTAGCTTTGATGGACAAAATTATCCGGTAAGTATACTGGAGAGAGGTAACATCCAGTGGCATAGTCGAGGTGCACACGAGATACCCCAACACCAATAAAAAAACTTCCTAAAAGAAGCTTGTAAAATAATCCATTAGATAAAGACACAGACAACTCCACAAACTCAAACCACAACCAACAAAACCATTACCAATCATGAAAGTATTAAACAGCAAAAACTTTTCCAAAAACTTACTCTAAGGTCTATACAATAGTAAATCTGGTACTGACTTTAGGATATTACAATATTGTTTAAAGTTGAACATAACTTCAGTTCCAAACTTTGATTGAAAGGGCTCTGCAGAATATATCTACAACCAACAAAATTGTGTTGATTAAAGAATACTCCAAAGTGAAGCATAAACCAAATTTCTGGCAGAAACATAAACTCCCCCTACCATGACCTACCTTTTTTTCAACCATCCATCATCACCTACAGAATGCTAAAGCAAAGTGAAAAACCAAAGGGAGAAGTTAAATGAGGCCAAAAATTCCTAATCGGTTAGTAATTATTCGCCACCGCCTGCCAAGATTTACACATCCCCTAGAGCCCTTACTATGTCACAACCGACAACCACCACAGAAGTGAAAACTTGAGTACAAAGGAAGAGAACTAACATAAGTGAGCAAAACAAGAGTAAGCTCTAAAGTGAGTAGTTTGCTAGTGTAAACTTAAAACTAATTCTGAATTTGCTAACGGGGCAAAATGAGTCCGGTTAGTCCCATGCACTAGTCACACCTGCTGCTCCATATGATGAATACCCACCAGATGCATATCCGCTGTTCATATTGGCACCACCATAATAGTCTGCAGCGCCTCGATTGTAAGAGGAATCTCTTCGAAAGTCACGACCACCAAAACGAGCTCCACCACGCCGATTTTTGCCTCCATAGTTAGATCGAGCAGCAAAGCGAGAGAGCCAGGCAGGTACTTCTTGGTTTGCTTCTGTCATCAAGTCAGACAGTGATCTCGCCAATGAAGAATTGTTCTCATTGAAGAAGGCAGTAGCTAAACCCGATTTTCCTGCTCGACCTGTTCTTCCAATACGGTGCACATAGTCATCAATGTCATTTGGCAGGTCAAAATTGACAACATGTGCAACATGGGGGATATCGAGACCACGTGCTGCCACATCTGTTGCAACCATAATTGGTGTGTGACCAGTTTTAAAGGATCTCAGCGCATATTCTCTTTCCTGCCAAAGAAGCACACCGATGGGTCAAGGATTTAAAAAAGAGGAAAAAAGTTCTCCGACATAAGCTACAACGAAGGAATAAGGTAGAAAAGTGCCAAGATGAGAGAACCATGAGAACTAAAACACTGATTACAACAAGCAACAAACAACAAACAACAAGAAGCCAGTGAAATCCCACAAGTGGTGTCTGGAGAGGGTGAAGTGTACGCAGACCTTACCCCACCTAATGAAGGTAGAGAGGCTGTTTCAGAAGAAACTCGGCTCAATGTGATTACAACAAGGATAGCTAATTTAACCAGTCAAATTTTGCATTCTGAAACTCATCTATGATCTATCTAATCAGGAATCTACTAAAGCAGAAAGATTATGGACAATTCAACACTCAATGTCACAACGCCAAGGACAAATCTTACCTTCCACAGGGAACCTATAGAATGCCATCTCATACAGCATAGCCATATCTAAGCNAAGAATCCATCTCAAACAGCATAGCCATATCTAAGCTTAAACTTAATTGGGCAAGCTTTCTTAGTATAATAGCACATAAGAAACACAGCAGTGCTTATCTAACCAGAAACGTTCTTCTTATCACTTTTAAACTTTAAGATATTTTTTAGTTAAACACGAGCAGATGTACCAATCCAAAGCAACATCTTATAGAACTTGAGAAGCACTACTTCCAATCTTGTTTTATTTCCACGAAGGAAGCAACTTCTTCATCAACTTCTTTCATTTATGGACAAATGAGATTACTGAAGAAATTAAGAGGAAGAAAAAAGAAAATCAAAATCCCTTCTTTTTTTTGGATATTGATTTTAGAACTGTGAACCAAGGGTCTATCAAAAACAGCCTCTCTATCTCTATGAGGTAGCGGTAAAGTCTGCGTACACACTACCCTCCCCAGACTCTATTTATGGGATCAAACTGGGTTTGATGTTGTTGGTTTTGTTGTTGGTTTTAGAACGGGAAGAACTGGAGCATATGCACAATCCAGCTAATCATAACGCAGACAATGTAAATGAAGTTATTGAGAAGCAGGAGAAGCAACCAAACATAGTAAAGTACAAGAAGATTGAGATTCCATAGTAATAAGCTATATTGAAGCATGTACTCCTTGTTGACCTTAGAAAATTAAATAAATCCTCCAGTTCAAATGCTAATCGTGGTTCCACATGGCATGCCTATCAACAAAAGTTCCTCGATTTCTAATTGAAACTGAGAACAGAACAATTATACAAGACAACCAAAATGGATTACAAGAATTTAATAAGAGCAGGAAGAGAGGCAAGAAATCATCAAGAAAAAACACCCAAAGAGAATAAAACAAACAACATTATAGCTTATGTGTCATGAAATCAGTCAACAAGAAGTGCACTAGGAATAAGCAACCGTACCTGCTGAGTTCTATCG